AAAAATAAACTCTCCCCCAGGAGGAGGGTGTTTATTTTTTTTTAAGCAGCCTCAATGTCTCGCGCCAGCTGGTCAAAGCTGGGCGGAGGCAGGCTCCGGCGTCCGGAACTGGAGCTCGCCCGCAGAGGCGGGTGGCGCGGCGGGGTAGTCCGCGGCATCAGGGAATTGCTGCCGCAGCTCCAGGTCGTTCAGAATGAGCCTGTTGCCGTCGTAGGCAACGCTCAGACTGTTGGTGGTCTCGCTGTAGGTGGCGGTGGCAAAGTTGGAGCTGATCCAGGTGGCCAGCCGGGCGCCAGTGTACGCGCCCTCGGGCAACAACGCCCAGTTCAGCGTGCCCAGCGCGGCGTCGACCCAGCACAGGTAGCGGCCCCGGTCCGTCGAGAGGAAACTGTCGGCCAGGCGGATCTTGTAGACGGCGAGCCGGGCGTCGCTCTGCAGGTGCAGCGACTCTCCCAGGTCTACCTCGAAGTCGCTGTCCGAGCCGGCCACCCTCTTGCGGCTGTCCACGTAGATAGTCGTCATCCTTTTCCATAGGAGGCCGCCCGTTCTGCGGACGATGGGCGGGTGGACGGCTGCGACGGAGGTGCAGCAGGAGATGTTTTCAAACCGTGCGCTGATCAGAGTGGAGCTGGCGAACAGCTTCTGGCCCAGGAAGCTGAGCGCCGCTCCCATCGGCGTCTTTTTCAATGCGAAACGCTCTTCAAAGCGCTTGTAGAACATTTCGTTCCTCGGCTTCAGATAGTAGACGAAGAGGAAGCTGTAGGGTTCCCGCGTCGCCTGCTCGTACAGCCGGTAGAGCTGCTCCTTGGCAGCAGGGCGCTGAGCTCCTCCACCACGGCGTCCAGCTCGTGCTGGTTGCGCAGCCTCCAGCAGCAGAGGAACTGCATGTTCACCCGCACGGCTGCGCTGATGAGCCGTAGCTTCTGCGAGCTCACCCAGGTACTGATCTGCATGTGCCGGCCCCTGATGAAGAGGTATCCAGGGCGCCGTTTGGTTTATGCAATTGCGGCATGTCCGCAAGGTCGTCCAGGATGATCAGCACCTGGTACAGTTTCTTCATCTCCAACTTCTTGGACGTCTCGGTGATCTTGCGCTGCTGCTGGATGATGCGGCGCAGCGCCGGCTCGTCCCAGTCCTCCCAGTAGGCTTGCTCTCGTTCGGTATTCACCCCCAAGTCCTCCTCGATATACTTCTTGACGGGAATCCAGCCGTCATCGACGGCAACTCGGCGCTCCAGGGCGCCAAGGCCGACGCGACGCTGCTGGCCTCGTACGCCACGAACGCCGCGCTCTCCGCCAGCAAGACCGCGCCCAGGGCGCCCTCGACGCAATCCTCGCGGAGCTCGCCGCCCTGCAGCTTTCCGGCGGCGGAATTGCTAACGCGCCGGCCTGGGCGGGCTTCACGACTTGGGAGCTCGTTCGCGGAAGCAACGTCGTTCCAACCTGCATCTCGAGGCTCCTCTCTCTGCTGTGCTGGCCAACGGCGCCGACACGCTGAGCATCACGGCCGACTGCTACTCGTCGCGGCGGCGGACGCGGCCCTCGCGGCTGCGCTGCTGGCCTACTACACCTCGGTGCAAGTGGACGCGCTGCTGGTCGACTACCGAACAGGAACGGCGCAGGATGCCGAGACGACCAGCGCCATCTCGGCTGCGCTGCTGGCCTACTACACCTCGGCGCAGGTGGACGCGCTGTTGGCCGACTACCGGACGGCGAGCGCGAAGGACACGCAGACGCAGGCAGCCATCGCGGGCGCGCTGCTGGCCTACCGGACGGGCTCGGACCAGGGCGTGTTCACGACCAACCAAATCACCTCGACGCTGGTGGCGTACCGCTCAGCCGCCGACAGCAACGGCCTCGAGCGTCGCAGCCGCCCACCGTCGCGCAGGTGGACGGTCTGCTAGCCGGCAAGCTCGGAGTCACGGAGGCAGCCTCGGCCCTGGAGAGAGCCGTGCGCTTTCCGGACGACACCGCAGAGCTGCTGGACAGCAGCGCGCTGGCGCAATTGCGCCCCTGGCCACGGCGGCCCTGGCCACTACGGACGGACAGGTGGCTGCGCACGGAGGGTCCGACCCTGGGCCCCACGGACGTCTCACTGGCAAACTGGACGGTTCGTCCCAGCAGCAGCAAAGGAAACCTTTCTTTTGGAACCTTGTTCGGCCGTCGTCGTCGGTCGGCCGTCGTCGTCGGTCGGTCGGTCGGTCGTCGTCGTCCTTCGGTCGTCGTCGTCGTTCGTTGTCGGGCGTCGTGTTGCCCGGCAGCACCGGTGAAGCGGTGTTCAACATAAATGCTACTTTTATTGTCAAAGTGCGTCGTTGTCGTTGTCGTTCGGCCGTCGGTCGGTCGTCGTCGTCGTTCGGTCGTTGGCCGTCGATCGGTCGGCCGTCGGCCGTCGATTGGGGAACCCTTTTTTCCCTGGTTTTTAGCCCGCCTTGCAGAAACGCAGCGGCGGGGCAATTTGCAAGCATGTCGAGGTCGATATAGTGCAGGCACGGGGCTTCCTGCAGCACTTTAGCTCTCGGTTTCTTCGCAGGACGAGGTCGTTTCCTGGACGGACGAGTGTCAGAACCCCCGCAACGAAACCCGTTTGGGGAATCCGCTCTAGAGAGAGCTGCGGGTGTGGTTTTAGCACAACCGAACTACACAAAAACACCACTGCATCTACTTATTAAGAATCCATTTTGTAGCCACACGCGCCAAGCCGAGACAACAGGTCAGTCAAACTTAAGAACAGTCTGATCCACATAGTTTGACCACGGCTCACATTTTATCCGTGAGGATGATTCGCTTGTCACCTGCGACTCCACAAAGCTTGTGCCACAAGGGTGTTGGTGTGGTTTGACGCGTGCAACGTGAAAGGCAGGCCATTTGGTTGCAAGCTTAGACTTGCGCTCTGGAAGTCTCCTTTGCAAGCTCTGTGTTGGTTTTTACGGCAGTCTGAATTTCCATTGTGTTCACCTTTGACTTTGAAGGACACCACGCGATGACTTTTTGGTTGGTCTAGAATCAAAAAAGGCGGAATATGTTGTTCCTGGTTGCCACACTTGACATGATTTTCTTTGTGAATCTGTAGAAAGTGACTGGGTGAATCAACATTTCGGTGCATGGACTCGCGCAAACGGACCAATGTCAGGACTCCGGCACGATGTGCCAGATGCAAGCATGCAACAACAAAGAATTGCCGAGTGCTGTTGCCTGCTCAAACAAAGCAACCCCACAATTGTGGTTTGAACCGGCAAAGGTTGCATAGATGTATCCGGCATAGATGCGCACATGCGCTCTCAGAAAAATCTCCACCTACCGCAAATAGCCCAACAGTATTCAAAACCAACATGATCGTTTTGTTGGCTGTCCAGCCCGGTCTCGACAGCAGCCCTGGTTCCTGTGCCCATGGATGCCTGATGCAGGTCTGACTTTGAGACGGGCGATTGTTGTCTCAATGGGAACTCAGTTGATTGTCCTGTCCAGTTCTAGTCAGTTTGGTTAGTTTTGAGTCTTGCTGAGGTTTTACCCCAGATTGATTCATTGTCTTTTGCTCGGGTTGGGGGACAACTGCTCAGCTTTGCGGGGTCAACCTGAATTGGTGGCACGGAGAGACACGTTCTCGGACCTCAATCACCACGAGGGACGCTGGCTCAACGGGATTTCTTCTTTTACCTGGTTTCTTACAGGGAAGCCAACAAGAGACACCATTTCAATGGCCAACTAAGCTGGCATATTGCGGAATCTCTTAAACCCCAAAGGCACTGCTTCCCCTTCGGTTTCCCTGGCCTCAACAAAAAATCGCCCGCCCATTCGAAGCAGGGCAGCTCTTGGTTGCTGCAGTGTCTCACGAGGGCCGAGTCATCCCAGGAGACTGCGCCTGATGCCACGTCCGGTTTTTGCGCCCTGGGCTGCGAAGCAACCATTTTGCCTCTTTTGTTTTTGGTCTGCACGGCACGCTTTGAATGGCGCGCGTTTGAATGTGAACCAAAAGAGCTGAATGATTGCCAAAGACTCTGTGGCGACTTTCTTGGGGTCTTGTTTTTACGGGTTTCCTTTTGGTTGGTAAAAGAAGGCAAGTGAAACAGAGCCTTTTGAACAGGGGAAAAGTGAGCAGCACCTCAAGCAAATGGAACATATGGAAGCAGGCAAAACAGAAAAAATCAGAAACAACACCCACTGCGGCGGGAAGACTGAATGATGCTCATGTGGGTTGGTCAGCAAATTAGGAATGCTATCTCAGAATTGGGGAGACCAACCACGTAACAACGTGTGGTGTTCCTTTGGTTTCTTGGCACGCGTAGTTTGCAACGGGGTACGGGGCTGAACGTCTTGGATATAGGAGGCCCTGGGGGGGGGGGGGTTTCAGGGGAATCGCAGGCGAGCCTTGCGCCTCTGCAAACTTGGCGTGCCGACGAGGTACGCCGATGGGGAAGGTCAGTTGGGCGTGCTTCAAAGTGTGTTTTTCGGAGTTGGTGTCCTTCTCAGGCAGCAAGCAAACAGGGCACACCAAATCCGTTTTGAGGTTTCTGTGGTTAAAGGTGGTTTGCTGAATATGCTCTGTGTGTCCACCACAGGGATTATTTGGCGTGTCTAACGGCCGGGGGCAAAAACAAATGTAGAAAGACTGGTGAAACCGAAACCAAACAGTCAAGCTCTTCTATTGTACGCACGTACGCCCTTATATCTGGTTCAAAATAAAACACGAAACCACCGTGTTCTCCCCCCGTGCTTTAAACATCAAATGTTCCCACGAGTTACTGGGACGAACCCAAGAGCTGCCACCCAAGGCGAAACAGTGGCGGCCTCCAGTCACTGGCGCCGCGACTTACACCCAAGCGGAGATGTTAGCTTGCGTGATGTCAATAATAATTGGAACAATCAACCAAACAGTTCAAACAAGAAGAAGCAGCAGGCAACGAACCAACTACAAAATGCAGCAAGAGCCCATCTCTTCGGTATCTTTCAGAGACTCGGGGCCGAGACTCAGCGTCCCTGGGACGGATCCGTTCTCCAGGCCCCAGCACTGCCCGCGGTGCTCAACTTCAGGAAGCTCCTAGAGGCGATGGGGCCCATTTTTTTTTTGTCGGGTTGGACGCCCCGCAAGCCTCTCTCCCTGAAGCATTCTAGCGGGAAAGGGTTTTAAGTTGTAATCGCTCTGACCATCCAGAAACGCAGCCTCTGAAAAGTGGACTCCTCAAAGTGAAGAAGACCCCCATATCCCTGTTTCCAAACTTTCTGGATGAGCTGGACATTCTCGCCACGCCTTTATTTTCCTCCCCTGGTTGGCACTTGCCCTAAATAAATAAATAAATATATATATATATATATATGTATGTATATAACTATAGACACACACACACATATGTTTCCTATGCCCATGCCCCTTAGCGCCTCCCGATACTCGGATAGGTTGGCCCCAGCACAGGTGCTACTTCCCTTGGTTTGAAACCTAGGGCCTCGCAATGTGTTCCAGATCGATTCTTCCATGGGTTGAAGACTTCCCAGCCCAGGCCGATGGCTTCCTCCACGCATTGAGGTTCTTGTGAATTTAGTTTTTTGTGAGTAGATTTTCAATCACTGCATACAAGAGGCTCTCCCCGATTCCACGCTGGGCAACTTGCGGGGATACTATATTCATAAGACGGTGCAAGAGGCTAGTTGACAAGAGGGGCGCGCCTGCCTGATGGTTTTGCTCGTTCTGACTTTGGACTTAGAGCTGCGTCCCAAAGTTCCACCATCTCCAGGTTATTCTTTCCAGGATCTGCTGACTAAAATGTGCCCGGCAAAGTGGCCGCGAATCAAAGGACACCAGTGCGGATGCAGCTTTTGATTGAGGCGAGCCGTTTCTCGCCTCGCAACTCTGGCAACTTAGGTCTAGGGTCAACATGTCGACTGAGCCACTTGCTCCAAATCCATCTGGGGGAAGGAAGGTTCGCAAGGGAACCTCCACGTGCCATAGGTGCAGTAAGAAACCCTTTTGGTTAATTGCCATGGGTTTTGGCAGACCACATACCAATAAGCACACCAACCATTGCTTACAGGAGCCCACTTTTTTGTTGGCACGGGGTTTATTCCAAATTTCCTCACGTGCAAGTTATTCAACTTTCATTCTGGGCTTGTCATGGTTTATCAACTTGCCCTTTTGATTTTGGCCCACAGGAATAAACAGGGGAAGGTGTTCCATGTCTCCTTTTGGATTTCCCAAACCCTTTGACCCTTGGTTTGGTTCTGATGGGTTCTGAGTTGTCTAAGAGGATTTGGATCAGTTTTGGCATTTGGTTTCCCTTGAAAAACCGATGGCAAACCTCAGCTGAGTTCCAGCCTGTGCCTTACCAGGCGCAGACAGAGGCAGAGAATGCGCCGGAGCTGCCTCGAGCGGAAGAGCCGCGGGCCAAGAAGGCCGGCCCCGCTAGCGCTTGGAACCTGTCGGTTGGTGAGGTAACCATCGAGTCCAAGAGATGTTTGATTTTAAGTTGTCGCCCCTCCGGCTCGGCCGCCTTTGGGCATTCCTGACACTTTGGGTTCTGGCTGTGGATGTTGCTTATGGACACCCCAGGGGGCTTTCCCTGCAATGATTGAGCTACCCTCCCAAGAAGCACCCGCAAAGGCCTCCCTAACATTAAGAAACGCTTGGGTCACACAATCATGACAAAACCCACCAGTTGAGATGGATGAAGCCCGATTTGTTGTTGATTAAACCACCAATCCAACAAATACCCATCATTGGAAGGCCTCAGCAGTGGTTGAATGGGAATTTGGTTTCGTACCTTCCCACAGGCTGCAATGGAGCTTGCGGATGCCACATGGACTTATTTGTTTTGAATGGGGACAGCGAAGCTGAGCACCCATTTGGAACCTATTTGGAGATAATGGCCATGCGCAAAGAGGTGTTTGGTTGCCTCATTCGGGTTTTCAGCGTGAGGCTCTTTGGATGCCACGATGGACTGGACTAAGTAACATAAAAAAAATCAGCAAAGGCACGGTTGACCTAAGTTTTGGCTTACTCGCAAGCAAATCGACTGGATTTGACCTTTGGGTGTTCCCACTTTGGGTTCCCAGTCTCAGAGAGGGTTCCAAAAGGTTCATTGCTATGAATTCTATCGAGGACGGGTCCCCAACTACAAGTCTATTTTTAGTCATTGGTCAAAAGGAATACTTTGATCAGACAACCTGCGATCGGGTTCGAAGTTCTCCCCGGGGCAGGAATGCCATGGTTTTCTCCAAGTATCCCACGAAACTCAGCCCAAGAGAATGGACATCTGCGATATGGCTCCCTTTTCCCTTGTCCCTGAAAAGACGAAGCTGCCACAACAACAAAGGCGGGAACGCCAGATTGTTGGTGAACGTAGCTCCAAAGTTGTCCAAAGAGGTGAGCTTTGACGCGCAGGCCAAGCTGGATGCCCCGGCCACCGCCTCGAGTCCGAGAGTCACGCGCATAGGCGAAAGCTCGACTGCGTAATCCAAATTCGGGCGGAAGTGGTTATTTGTTCGGGACAGTCCCAACCACATGTGGGTGTGGCCACCCTTTGGATTCTGTAAATGGCTTTGGGCATGACGCAGATCGGTTTATCCCTGGTCTCTAGGCGGGGTTGTTCAAAAAACTATTCTTATGCCAGATGCTAGCACATTTGTTTCTTGTTGTGGTGCTCACTACGCATGACGGATTAGGACTAGGCATTCCACATTTTGAAAACTTCAGCTAGGGCTTTGCACGGCTCTGTTTTTGTTAATGGAAAACATCTCTGAATGAAGGTTAAGTTGTTTTTGAAGGCAGTGAATTCACGATGTTGAGCTCCAGGGATGTTGAGACAGCAGATTTTGCGTGTGCAAGCGAGCACGTTTGTTTGCGTTTTTCTCTTTTCAAGGGTTTTCAGCTACACCTCCAGAAGCGACAAAACCAGGGGCCGAGAGCACGTGGGGCTTTCGATACCTCTCTAAGGAAGGCCTTGCGCGTATCGGCAGCAGGGATCGCCTCGGGGAGGCAGGGGGCGTGTGCCGTTTGGAGGTACCCTCAAAACCATGGCATACTAAGCTGAAGCTATTGGGAAGACCCTCAAGCACAATAAAGCCATTTCCTGCAGGAAGACCCCATGGGATATGCCAGCCGCCTGTTTGTATGGGGGAACTGGTTATATAGCATGGCTGGCGTGTCGGCTCATTTTTTGGGTTAAACGACCTTCGTGACGAGAGCTCTCTTCGGTGGTCACGGAAGAAGGACGGTTCCGCAAAAGGAGAGAGTCCTCCACACAAAGAACTCCTAAAAGCTCCTTCCACAAAGAGGCTACTCCAGGCGTTGATGAAATTTTCTTGCATATTTTTGAGGTTCTCTTTATCTCATTCCTCACCACGAACAATCAGCGAGGGGGCTGATTTGCATTTCGTATAGGGGGAGTCCCCCATTTTGGAACATCCATATTCAGGGCTTCCATCTCAATTGGCAACCGCAACAGTTTTGGTTGGTAGGTTTGTCCGCCATTCTAGTACAGCCCCAGAAAGTTATGTTTTTTTTGCTTTCGGGCAGTCAGCTCAAGTGATAGGTAGGAACTGGGTGGAGTTAAGAGAAACCAAAAGGAGTCACCCAATATGGGTCTTGGGAAACAGAAGGAATCCTACCGCCACGGGTCCCTAGCCAGACCTGTAGTGGCGTTGGCTCTTGGTTTCCCTTAACAATTGGGGTGTCCAAGCAAAGGGCGTGCAATTTCCGGTAGGGTGCCTCCCAAACGCTTTTTTTAGGTTTCGGATTCCCTAAATCAGCTTGTACAGGGGATTGTTCAACTGGCGCCAGCTGGTATGCCTTTCGGGACCCTGTAGTCGACTGTAGAGAAATCAAGGGAGACATAGAAATGCTAGAGCTTTCATTGGCTTCCGCAAAACCAGCAACTTGGGCAAGGATTTTTTCCCCTACCAACTGGCAATGATTTAACAGAGATCCAGCTAAAAAGTGGTTGGTGGGCATCAATCCCAAAATTATGTCCACAAAAAGTTCCAACCACGTAAAAATCATACCCAACTAAGCCTTGTCTGTGTCATTGTTTGAGGGTGTTCTGGTTTGGTTGCTTTAAAGAAACCAAAAGGGAACCACTCAATTCAGGGGGGTCCCTATTTGAGCCAAATGCGAATTCGCCCCAGCCGAATTCGTCGATTCCGACCTGACGATTCTCAGGCAATTCTTAAGTGGTTCGGATTGGCGTGGATTTGGAGCTGAAGCCCTAGTTCTTGTAGGGGGTGAATGGGTCAATGGGTTGTTCCACCGGAACAGCGAACCGGGCTCCAAACCATCTGAGACTCGAATCGCCAGGTCATCCGCTCCATGGAAAACCGCCTAGCGCGGCAGGGCATTTTAGCGGCGCCGGAGACCATCATCCAGCGGAAGAAGCAGAAGAGGGACGGAGATTTGTCCCTTGGCCAACCCAAATGGGGGATGTTTCAAGCGAAAGTCAGCTAAGCCAAGCATTTGGAGGGGTTTCGGCTTGGTGTTACAAGAGGACTTCAGCTAAACCATCAATTGTTTGGCTTGATTTTGTTTAGTTTTGTATTGGAAAGTCAGCTAAATCAACAATTCTCAGGGATTTTGGTGGGTTTTTAAAGGGAACCAAGGCAAACCACACATTTTGAGGGTCCCGAATTCTTGAGGGCATTTCGGGGGTGGCTTGTTAGGCCTGCGTCCCCCCTCTTCAGAAAGAGATTTCTTGTTAAGGGAAAGAGAACATAGGCATAGGCTACTTGCCAGTCCCTAGTACATTCACCAAACATACGCTGGTATACCCCTCACATACCAATCACGTATATCTATCTTTCTGTATATATATATATATGTATCTATAATATAACATAGTATACCACAATAGAATGTAGTATAATATGATATGATATAATGTAATGTATAATCCAATATAACACAGAAGTGTTTATATATTTTCCATACATATCCATATACATGATGCACATTTAAACATTACATATATATACACCGTTTATATATATATATATGTATAATGTTCTGTACGTATATATATATATATACACATGTACATATACTTGTATATACGTAGGTATATGTATACACTTGAGGACTGCTCAGGGTCACTTGTGTGTCATTCTCCTTGACTTGGCTCTTCGTCCTATATAAGCGATATGCTCCCGTCCTCGTCCCAAGCATTCAAGCTCCAGACGATTCCGCAAAGTTGTTTTTTGCCCAGGGCCAACGGCTGCCAAAGCGACGAGGACATGCGGGGAACCAGAAGCCTTTCAATATGATAAGGAAATGCAACTTGACTGTTGCCAACACTTCGTTGGCTTCCTTTTCTATGACTGGAAAGAGGGTACCACAGGAAGCCACACATCTAGGTCTCAACACACCCAAAGAGTTGCGGAGCTGCGAGGTTCTACGACGTCAGCGACAACTTCATCGATGACGCCCAGCTGGCGGAGCTGAATGCGCTGGAGGAGTCAGGGCATGGACTTGCAATTGGTACAGTTGATGGACATATGTCCACGCCAGGCACCAGTTGGGATGGGTGGTGTCCGCCAGTATTCATACAGCTTCATCCATGCTGGTGCAAGAGTTTGTCCATCCGCAGTAGGGATGGTCATTAACTATCAGCCTCTTGGAGTTTTAAGACCATTGGAAAAGGTTCCAAGCCTTGATCATGGCAGATATGAGGTCCTGTCAAAATTTCCTGATTTGCCTATGATCCATTTGGGAGGACATGGGGCACAAGCCTAACTTTCCACCCAAACCAGCGTACAACACCCTACTTTTCCCACGTCCACCACTGGAACTGCACGATTTGACCGTGGCCCATATGTTCATTTGTGTTTGGTTTATGCATCACAGTTTGCTTGCCCATGTTGATTGGGCTTCCCTTTGCCTGGGGTGATACTTGAAGGGAACATATGCATATAAGGAATCCCGTGGAATGCCTAACGGTGGATTGCCGAAATCCTGTGGTTGTCCCACATTTCTCAGAGGGCTTCAATGGCCATGAATTGTAATAGCAAACACCCTCAAAAAGGGTTGGTGGACATCAATCCCCACGCAAACGATGTCGACCACAGGGTCCCCAATTGAGATTGATCGCCCCATTCCTTTCCAACTCGTGCATTCTGTGAATTTACCATCTACAAGGGGTGGACTGGACACATCCAGATCCACACCCTTAGAACCTCATCCCAAACCAAGCCGGGTGTATTATGCCCGGTGTTCCTCCGGTGTTTTTCATGTTGGGCAACAGAACCCCGCTGTAGACAGGGAACTACAGGGACCCAAGACGGGAATTGCCAGGATCAATAATAGAGGCAACTCCTGTCAATTGCAACCAGCCTGGCATAGCGACCTTTTCCACACGGCCTAAATGTCCGCCCATCTCAAACTACCCAAACAAAGCTGGGACAAGCTTAGGGAACTGGGTTCTCAGACGGATCCCGGACAAGAAAGGACAAGAAGGGTAGAGATCCCGGAGTAGACGAGCAGTATTGATGTGGGGTTTGTTTGGTTAAACATAAAGTTGCACCTGCACCTCCACTTTTCAGAGAGATTAAAAGAGCAGTTAAACCGAATTGAATAGACTATTGTTATGAGTTGAATTTCTTGGAGGGTGGTTTTCCAGAGCAGAAAGTCATGCTGAAAGTGACTGCGCTTGCATTTCAGACATAAAGCAGTTTGGCTCCCCTTCGTGTATTCTTCTTTTATTTACATTTTTGTGTTGTTGTGTTGTCTGTATGTTTATGCTATATATTTTTTTGGAAGGTGGGCAAGCTGTGATTAGCGACACCAAAGTATATTGCGCATGCAAAGCTGCTGTGGAATGCGGTGGCAAATCGTCAGAAGCTCGCGCGCCCGCTGCAGTTCGGAGGGCTCGCAGAGAGCTGACGGAAAAGGCTGTCCACTGCCAACTCCAAGAAGGTCGTGGTGCGCCTCCCAGAGGTTCAGGGCGAGCGAAACTTCGACGCGTGGCTCGCGGCGCCGGACTCAGATTTGGCCAACGTCCCGCTCGCAGTTCTGGGCCATGGCTGAGGAAGGGTTGGCATGCGCAAAAGCGCGAAGCAGTGCTGCCCATGCACTTGCTTGCCTCGAGATCTGGGCTGAGCTCCAAAACTAGAAGCTGCCCCCTACTGTTGTCAATCCTATGTCCAGGCTGTTTCAAAGGAAGGCCAAAGGAAAACAACAACTCTTCCATGTTGAAACTACCCCATACGGGTATAAGTTTTAATTGGGGACCCTTTGGTGCATAGCATTTCCGTTCGAATTTGTCTGCACCAACCACTTTTGAGTCCATTAGAAATCATGGCATGGAGTTCAACCCAATTCCCTCCAATTGTTTCCCAAAGACAAGACCCTCCAATAACGTGCTTCTCCATTAAACTTCATGGTTGTATGAATTTTAATTTCGGATCCCTTGGACATGATTTGGGTGCGTCTGTTTGTGGGGCACCCCACAAACTGGTTTCCGTTTAACACCACTCCCAAGAAGTGTCCCCAGAAAAGACATACCCTAGGGCTTGATGTCTTCCCAGTTCTAGGGGTTCCAACTTTTTCATCGGAGGCTCCCGATTGTCCGCTCCGCCGACTTCCCGACTTCCCCAGGAGCGCCGGAAGCCCAAGGCGCACGCGTCCAAAGCGGCGGCTTCCGAGGCGGACGAAGGCGGCTTTCGGTTTGGGGGTTCGCCGCAAGCCGTTGCTTTGGGACGGTCTTGCCTTTGACACCTCCTTTTTTCCTCTAAGGGAATCCGCTGTGCGATGTTGCTAGAGGCAAACTGCGTTTTGATACTGCTTTCAAGGGCAACCAAGTTTTGGATGCTTGAACGGGAGAACTCGTTTGTGACCATCATAGGAAGTTGTCTGTTGGGTTTGCGCCTCGAATGTTTGGGTATGGTCTACGAGGGAACTTGCCTTCTTTTTTGGGGAAATCACGCGTTCGATGTTTTGCAACGGATCTGTCGTTTGCATGTTGCTAAAAGGGCAACATGCTAAAGTCAACATGCTTTTGGAGATCTTTAAGGGGGCAGTGCAGGGAGCCCATCTTTCGATCGCACTGTAAACTTAAATCCGGGTGATTTCTATAGAAGGGACACCAATTCCTGGATCTGAGTCTACCTTGGCTTGCCCCCCTTCATTTCCAGTTTGAAGTATATTACATCAATTTCTGCAGATATCATCGCGCATTGAAAGGAATATGTTTTACCCTCAACAAAACCAGCATTGAACCTGGCAGGGGTCCCTTTAGAAGGAGTCTCGTTCAGGTTGTTTTTTGCAAGGGTAAGTGCAAGTGAACTACTTGGTGGTTTGGATTGTTTTTGAGGATTCCTGTTTCTTTTTGTAGGGTAAATGGGAAACCATCCCCGACCACCAAACCAGCGGACGCCGAACCATGTATTTTTTTTGAGGGAAGCTGAAGTGATCTTGAAAAAATTAACGACACGCGGCTCTGCCCCATTAGTTGAGCAGCCTGATTTTGCCGTGCAGCTTGTTGCATTTTAGGCTACAGGTGCTTTGTGCCTCAGGGAAATTAAGGAGCCGCGGCCGGTTTCTTGAACAAATACATCGATGCTCTTTGACCAGTATCTCTTGCTCTTTCAGCCAATCACTGTAGCTGGGTTTCCATGTTTGTGTCTCTCTTTCTTGTGCAAAGAGCCTACGCTGCTGTTTGCAAGAGCAGGTGTACGCGAAGGTCCACTGCCCTTTCATTCCTTAATCGGAACTTTGGATTAATCATCAGTTGATTTATATGAGGGATATCCCCTTCAACGGGGATTCATCATTTTTGGAGGGAACTCCCCCTATTAATAGGATGAGTTCTACTGGGATCCGGGTCAACATTACGCAGTACCAGGCTTTGATTGTGACTCAAGTGATGTCAACTCCCCCTCCTGTTTTTCCAACAGTCAGGTGCAGAGAAAGCAGCCGTGTCGGCCGGGCTGGGTGCACTCAGTGTGGCAGACCGTTCTTCTGGGCTTTGCCTGCAATGGACACCCCGAATCAAGGAGACCCTGGTTGATTTGATCGGGGGGGGGGGTCCCTTGTAGTTCCTTCACTTTGTTGGGTGACACCCTCCGTTGAATAAGAGGACTTTCTTTAGAAGCCACTTGCAGGTTTCCAAAGCCCACCATCCAAAAATGCCGCAGGCCCCTGAAACACTAAAATCTTTTTCTTTTGTTTCCGGATTTATTGGTTCAAGATCAAGAATCCTGGGTTGTAGAGCTCCGAAACCGAGGGTAATCCTGGAATAAAGTTGCATGCTTTCCCTTGTTCCCTACTTGCAACTTTTGGGCATGCCAACATAAGGATTTGGACACCCATTTTTTGGTTTTCATCCAAATCAACCTGAAAAGAGTATATACCCCAAAAACACACACACACACACACACACACGCGCACACACACACAAACCCTGGTCTTCCTGCATTTGCCCCAAACCGTGACGGACAAAGGTTCCCACAGCAGTTTGAGACAAGCCATGCTAGGGGCCCTTGCCCCATTTGGCGAGAGGTGCTCAAGTTCATGGCTGGTCTTTGAACCATCCCCAAAAGGAGCTTTTGGACATAAATGTTTTGTTTTTTTGTCCCCCATAAAACCTGCAATAGGTGACTGACCATTTTGCTCAGGGGGCTTGGAGCAAACCAGGGTTTGGAGGCCCCGAGTTTGCGACGAAGCAGGACACGGCGGGGGAGCTGGCGAACGGCTTTGATAAGAACAGCATTCAGCGGACATGACAGGAGTCAGAAACAAAGGGTTGTCGAGATGTGAGCATCACCAAGAAGCATTGGCGACAGAGCATGGTTGTGGGACAAATGTGTTTTAAGGCCAGTGATATTTCTGTGATACCAAGGGAGTCCCTTCGCGATACAGGACTCATATGGGTGTGTCTTTTTTTGAGGGTACTGGAAAGCGGCGAGCCACCAATATCAGCATCAGGAGACATTTCCACAATGGAAAGGCACGCACACTGGGCACTGGCATTGGGATCAGAGGATCACATTGTCTTTGATTTGAGGAAGCCTTGTTGGGGTTGTTTGAAAAGGAATCAACAGGTAACCAGCCAAATTTCAAGGGATACCCTATTTTGAGACAGACCCACATGTTGCAGTTTCCTGGTGCCATTGAAAAGGTTCGCCAACTTGAATGGCGCAGTGTTTGGGTGGGACATTCAATGACCCCCGACTCCGGAGCGGGTGTTCTACCGTTCCGATGTTCAACATCAACATGTTTGCTTGTAAGGTTGCTCCAGCAAGCACCAGCAGCCTACCAGCAGCCTACATAGGGGATGTTTCCCACCCTGTTTAAAAACCAATTGCGTCAAGGAGGTGATCCCAATGTTGGAGTCACCTCCCAGTGATGCCATCATGGACAACCCAAGCAAGAAATCCTCAAAAAAGAGCTAGACCACGGTTGGCCCGAAAGCATAACATCGCAAGCGAGGTCGGCCCAACGCTGCAGGATGCGTTCTTTTTCCCTCCACGAAGCATTTGTGAAGCAAGCGCGGGAAAGGTGCTCTGCGCAAACTGGTCGGTGCAAGTTGGTCTGCGCAAGTTGCTCTACGCAAGTTGCTCTGCGCAAGTTGCTCCGCGCAAGTTGCTCCGCGCAAGTTGCTCCGGCAAGTTGGCCCCTGCAAGTGGCTCCCTGCAAGTTGCTCTGTGCAAATTGCGCTCCCTGCAAGTTGCTCTGTGCAAGCTGCTCTGTGCAAGTTGCTCTGTGCAAGTTGCTCTGCGCAAGTTGCTCTGCGCAAGTTGCTCTAGGCAAAACGCTTTGCGCACACTGGTCGGTGCAAGTTGGTCTGCGCAAGTTGCTCTGTGCAACTTGCTCTGCGCAAGTTGCTCTGCGCAAGTTGCTTTAAAATGCAAGTTGCATCTTGCGACGCCCGCCCGCGGACCAGGGAGGAATCGAACCCGCGACCCGCCGGTTCCGGGAGCAGGCGCGCGAACCACGCGACAACTCCCGAGGACCAGTTCGAACAACAAGTCGCAAAAAACCTTGAGTTTTTGCACCTCGACCACGCCGATTCCCGCAGAGGGTTGCGCGAGCACCGCAGAAATCGCAAAAATCCTCGAGTTTTTGCACCTCGATCACGCCGATCCCCGCAGAGGGTCGCGCGGGCACCGCAGAAATCGCAAAAACACACCATGCGATTTTGCACCTCGACCACGCCGATCCCCGCAGAGGGTCGCGTGGGAACTTTAGAAATCGCAAAAAACTCCGAGTTTTTGCACCTCGACCATCGCAACAAACCATGGGCTTTTGCACCTCGACCACGCCGATCCCGTTTAGGGTTGATTTAGGTTGGTTTAGGACGGGTTGCTTTAGGGCTGGTTTAGGGTTGATTTAGGTTGGTTTAGGACGGGTTGCTTTAGGGCTGGTTTAGGGTTGATTTAGGTTGGTTTAGGACGGGTTGCTTTAGGGCTGGTTTAGGGTTGATTTAGGTTGGTTTAGGACGGGTTGCTTTAGGGCTGGTTTAGGGTTGATTTAGGTTGGTTTAGGACGGGTTGCTTTAGGGCTGCCCCGCAGAGGGTCGCGCGAGCACCGCAGAAATCGCAAACAACCATGGGTTTTTGCACCTCGACCACGCCGATCCCCGCAGAGGGTCGATTTTCGTGTAGTGTCGTCGCAACTTGCACTTGCTTGCACTTGCCTTGCCTTGCAACTTGCACTTGACTTGCACTTGCAACTTGCACTCTTGCAAATTGCACTCCTTGCTCCTTGCAATGACTCCTTGCAATGACTCCTTGCATGATGATTGCAATGACTCCTTGCAATGACTCCTTGCAATGACTCCTTGCAATGACTCCTTGCAATGACTCCTTGCAATGACTCCTTGCAATGACTCCTTGCAATGACTCCTTGCAATGACTCCTTGCAATGACTCCTTGCAATGACTCCTTGCAATGACTCCCAATGACTCCTTGCAATGACTCCTTGCAATGACTCCTTGCAATGACTCCTTGCAATGACTCCTTGCAATGACAATGACCTTGCAATGACTCCTTGCAATGACTCCTTGCAATGACTCCTTGCAATGACTCCTTGCAATGACTCCTTGCAATGACTCCTTGCAATGACTCCTTGCAATGACTCCTTGCAATGACTCCTTGCAACGACTCCTTGCAATGACTCCTTGCAATGACTCTTTGCAATGACTCCTTGCAATGACTCCTTGCAATGACTCCTTGCATTGACTTTCATGATGATGATTCCTTGCAATGACACCTTGATGACTCTCATGAGAACAACTCAAGTGAACCCAGCGGAAGAACCCTTCGCCATGCTTTCGGGAAAAACACAACTCTAAATGGCAGTGTACTGGACCCTATCTGCGGCCTAAACAAGAAGAAGGTTTAAGAATGGTTATCCCACCCCCGCAAAGTTACACCCGCACATGGGACCCCCTCCTTTTGCCCATTGAGCTTTGCCCTGTCGCTCGACACTGATTGGGCAGCGCAGTAGTGGGGTGCGTGGCGCTAGCTTGTGCCGGAAGTAGGCGGTGGTGAGCAATTTCCGAATGCGTGCTGCCTTGGGCACTTCGTAAGCATGGAGAAGCGTGGCCGCGTTGTTGGGCATGCAGCTTCGCAGCGCCCCTCACGCAGATACTACAGTCGACACATTTTTGCACCAGGGACACTCCTGAGTGTGATATGGGGGGGTTGGAACCTCGGAGAAAAAGCTCCTGGTAGATTTTGATTGGGGGGTCTCCTTTTAGTGGTGCCCAGGCCAGAGATGGACGTGAAGGCCTTCCGCCTCACCTCGGCAGAGGTCCATGGGAGACACAAGCCGTTGGTGCAACACATCTGTCACTTGCCGTTTTTTTTGAAACACAACGCTTGGCAAGCCGGTTGGTGTGCTCCTTTTTTGCTTGCCAATTTCGTGCTTGGGCATGGGAGCCTACATGTTTGCCAACATCCCCCCTCAGGCAGGCTTCATGTTGGAGAGAGTAACTGGCAAAGGCATAGCTCCAGGTTCAACGGCTGCTCACCTCGGAGACAGCCCCAGGCTTTCGCACTGGAAGAAACATGCAACACAATCCAGAACATCTGTCTACCTGGGGACATGGATCTCTTGGAATGTGGACAGCCATGACAAGGATTTGTGGTCGAACCATGACACCATACCAACCGCAGAATTCGGTTTGACAGGGGCACCTGTCCTGTCACACGGACGCCCTGCCATGGATTCTGGTGGCCTCTTCCGCTGGAAGTTTCGAACAATAGTTGTCATGCCAGACAGTTCTACACGTTTCCTCCGAAAATCCAGTGGGTGTGTCGTTTTTAGGGGGCGAATTGCGCTTTAGCTTTGGGTTTCCCTTCAAAACCGCAAACAAGTTCAAACAAGCGCTACCAACTCGAAAAGAGAGACACCGGGTCAAGTCCGCGCTCATTCGCCCTTGAGGAGCCATCCCTGACACTCAATGGAAGAGATTTGGGATGCTTTCTCTTTTTTTCGGTGGCTATGACTCCAAAGGGTCCCCAGTGAAAATTCACATCCATTTTAAGCCCGCTGAAAGGGACAAGCCACCTCTCACCATTTTTTTGGTCCGTCTCGGGTTTCCCGAATGATTTTCTTGTTTCCCTCCTCGGGTGTCAGACCGTCCGAGCCGTTCAGGTGTCCGGTACTGAGTCCGAGTCCGAGTCCGGTGAGGCGCATCGGTCGCTGCGCAAAGGAATCGGTGTGTCTTACAGGGGGACTCGGACCCCGGAGCCCAAATGGGGTTGTCTTTATTTGAGGGAACGACTTTTGGTTGGTGTAAAGGGACACCAAAAGGATAAACCATTATCCTTGGGGTCCCCTACTTTGACACATACCCAAATCAGTCACCAGAATTTGGAAAGCAGTGGGTTATCCCAAAAAGGGCGAGCCAAAGAATGGGTGTGTTTTTTCTTCTTCATATGTTTCCCTTGAAATCCCCAAAATGGTTACTGCGCACGCAAGACAAAACTTAATTGACATGGGGAGGTTGCCTTCTGGATACCTCGCGGTTTTTTCCATTGGTTGTCCACAAAATGGTTAGCGCGAGCCCTTTTGGATGGGGGAATGCATACCTTCAGAAGTTCAGAAAGGGATGGGCTTGCAAGCGATTGGTAGCGGTGTTTGGGAGGGGTACATGGGTTGCCAGGGAAACGAACCAAGATGCGTTTGGTGTTGGGCGGAATTGGTTTGAACCAGTTTGAGCCACCCCAAACCCGATTCGGCTTTGCAGGAAAACCCAAAGGAGGTTGTTCAGTCAATGGTTTTGCTGAGGTTTAAACACGGGGTTCTGTTTGCACATGTTTTTATCCAGTTTTTTTGGACGTCCTGATTTAAGCTACAATCAGTCGACCTGGGTAGATGAAGCTTACTAGTGAGCTACTAGTGGGAACAGTCCCTTGGCAAAAGCGGTGCGGATATCAATAAGCCCGCCCGATTGCTTACCACTGGGCTTTGGATAGACCCCTTAAAGAAAATGCGCACTAGGTTTTTTGTTTCTCGCAACCTTTCTCACAGAGAAGATGTCTTCTTGCGTGGAATGGCATTGCTTCGGTATGGTGAAGCATTACCTACTGGACACTCAGCACTCAACTTCAGCTGGATAAGGGCAGGCTGCAAGCGTCATTGAACATGTCAACAGGGCCAACTTTGCAGCATGACATTTGTCTCAAAATAGAGGACCCCATTTTAAGGTGGTTTTCCTTTTGGTTGCCCCTCAAAAGTCAGGGTCAATATCCCACGGCTCTTTACCCAAACGAAAGGCGTCCATTGGACTCGGCTAGCACACGAGTCGCCAACTGTTCGGCATGTGTCCCGGAATTATTTTCTTGGTTTGTCTCAAAATTTGCGAGCCCAGCCAAAATGGGGGGGTTCCTTGAAACCCCAAAAAGCACTGCATTGTTCTGCCGCAGGGCTTGTGCCATTTGTCCATTAATCATGGTCAACACTTTCACTAAGTGCAACTACTTAGGAACCCCAAGACAAGTTGTTGATTGAAGGGAGCGTCCCTTTTGAGAGGACATGGATCTGTATTTTTTTTTGCCGGAGTGGCGCCCTGTTACGACGCGGAGCTGAAACGGATGGAGCCACTACGACGGATTAACAACTGTGAGCCTTGCGGAATACTGGAGGAGATTTGACTGACACAAAGTGAGCCAAAGATCAACGGATTATTTTGTCTGTTTCTGGAGTTTTATCACAGTGAGAAAATGGGGTTGTTTTCCTTTACCCACTACTTGTTGCTGGCTTTCATCATAGTCAAACGATGAGGCCGGTTGCACTGGACCCATCGTCCGCATTGGGTTTATCTCATCCAAATTGGGACTATCAAAACCTGGTAGCGGGGACTCACAATTCATGGAGAAGTCCAAGAAAAGCCACCTAGGCCCGGGCTTATCCTCTTTCCAATCACGAAAGTGGACCATGTCGTCCACTTCAATGATTCTTGGACAAAGGGTAATGACGTGTTTTGGGTTGTTGAAAGGAACACACCAAAAGGAAATCGCCCAATGCGGTTGAAGTTCCCTTTTGAGAGAGTCCAATATGAAGTGCTCGGATGTACCTCCCACTAACATGGAACATGACTGGAGGTTGTCCTTTCGATTATTTTGCTCTGGGTTTCACGGCAACACGCCGACCGTCTCAACCGATTTCAGACTGTCCCAATAAGGAGCTGGCTTTCTGCCACCCAAACTCGCGGCTGCAAGAGAGTCAAAGACACGGAGCTGGTTCCAAATTTTCCGTGAGATCTTTTCGGAGCTAGAGTTCTGTAAGGGCATGGATCTGCCCCCTCCGTGGGTTTCCCCTGCCAGGAGGAGCTCCGGGATAGCCGGGGCTGGCAGTGGCAGCTCGCCGAGCTCCGCGAGGCGGGCGCAAGCCTGGCTGGGCATCCCGTTTGTGATGTGGGATGTGGTTCATGGTGCTTTCTGCCCGTTTTAAGTCTTGCTTTGTTGTTCATTTGTGCTTTGATCCTCTTTTGCGCCTTTCTGTTCTGTTCTTTTGCGTTGTCTCATTACTGGGCGAGGTGACTTTTTTGGAGGCAAATATCTTGGAGTGTTAAAAAAGGGAATCTAAAAGGAACACTTTCTTTTCCATTTTTTGGGGTATTTCGATTTTGTTACAAACCCATATGCTTAAGCTGTGGCTGTGGTCCGGTCCACTGCTTTATGCTGGAGTTCAAGGTGATAGATGCGGGTGTAGCGACGAGTTGCTTGTTGGTTGTGGCCTTGCACCATGCGAAATCCAGCGGGTCACACAAGCTTGTCTCGGGGTCCTGCGGGCAGATGAGCAACAGAGAGTTCACCCAGAAGGCGTCAGCCTCTCAGTTCTTCATTGAAGTTTGTCGAATCCTCACGGCCCACCCCCCCCGCCCCCCCGAAGCGGGTCAAGTGATGTGCAACTACAGAAATACACGCGGTACTGGATGCACGTGGTGTTTGGTGAGTTTGACAACTCAACTGCTTACATCTTGGTTGGTCCACAATGGCTAAGGCGGCTAAGGATTTCATTACATGCTGTCTTGACTGTTTGCATGTGAGCATGTGTTCTAAAAAGTTGGCTCCAGACATGTTGTGGACAATTACATGTTCAAGAATCTCCCTCCAGGCGGACCATGACTAAAGCGGGAGGTTCCCTCAAACAATATAAGCAACACCAACCCAGTCTGGGGGACGCCACCGGGATCTCCTCTCAGCTCGACGTGTCTGAAAATAGCCGTCCCAAGAAATGGTGTCTCCCCGTTTGGTGCTTTGAGCACCAACCAAGATTCTAAGATGCCTGAGGGTTCCTCCACCCCGAAACCACCCGGAAGGGGGAAATCGGGTGAGCCATTCTACATATCCTTCCCTTTGGGCCTTCGGGCTTAGATTCGGACAGGAGCTGGTGCTGGTCTCTTCCAAGCCACTGGAAGGCCTTTTTCTTTGGGGGGTGGGGGAGGGATGGCGGCCTCGCCTCGCGCGGGTTGCGAGTGTTCCAGATACAAATTCTGAGTGTAGCATCCGAACAGAACCCATTGGTTACAACCAATTCATGGTCATCCACACGGTAGCCAGGTGGCTAGCTCCCAGTCAACCCCCTGTAAGCCCATGTGAGTAGGGCTACCAACCTTTGGCTCACCCCAGAACCACCTAAGCATCCCGTAACTTCAGGAGAGACATTGTGATTTTCTCTTTCAAAATTAATGTATGTAAAAGAGAAGGCATACGGGGCTCCATCAACGGAGTATAATTCCCATAAACTGTTGGAAGAAGGGCTATCACGTATGGAGGGCTTAGCCAACGTTTTACGAGTTGGGGTCGGGATATATGATTGGTTTTTGCCGCCTATTGAACGTTGACCAGAGAAAGGGCGCTTAAGGAAGAGGTTTTCCTGTTGGTTCCCCAACCAAAAAGGGGTACCCTCAAAAACGACACATCCAAGGGAGCCAGCAAAATGGGTGGTGTCCTTTTGGTTTTCTGTTCAGAGCAACCCGAACGGGTGCTCAGAACGCCCTATACAAATCAGGACCCAAGCCGGGGGACTCACCCCTTTGAAGTTCTTTGGATTTCTTCATTCGAATCACCAATCTCAACGACCACAGATTTTGGTGCCTCTGGTGGCTCTGGTGCAGAGTCTCTCCAGGACTCCAGTGTTGGTAATGATGTGCGTCAGAGTCAAAGGTGCTCTTGACTCGATGGTACGAATGGTCGCCAGCCCCTTCACAGGGATTGTAGACAGCCGGAGGAGGTTTGATCGTTGACGTCTGCCAGCCGCTCAGGCTCAATCTGGAATTTCTCATGACTGGCTCTTAGGTCATGAGGCATCCTCTCGAGGACACTCACTCCGAGTGGCATGGGACGCATTCGCGGTCCCCATTGTCTATAGTGCAACTTTGCGCCAGTCTTAGTGAGCCTTTTTGCTTTTTGCTCGTCTGGGTTTTGTTTTCCTTTGTTTCCGCTTTTAAGCAGCAAAATGGTCAAGCCTTCTTGCAGCGGGGCCTAAGTCTGTTGGTTTTTTACGCTGTCCTTCATTTCTTGTCCACCGACAAGAGTTTGTTTGGCGCTTTTGGCCGGGGTTGGTGGCCTCGATCCCCGCGAGCCGGCCGTCCAGGCAAGAGGCGCGCGAGTTCGTGCGCTCTGCAGACTTGAGTTCTCAAGCACAGCGCCGCCCGGCGGAGGGCGGAGGTCAGGTCCTGAGGTGTGGGCTTGGCCATTCCCTGCGCAGGAAACCGTTCTTTGGTTTCACTGGGGTCGATTTCAGAGTTAGAAGATCAAACTCACTTGTGTCAAATTCACTCGGGTTAGGGTTCACACTGGGGTTTAACAGTTTACAATTAGATTGAATAAATTAGATTGCCTTTCACTCTGGAGATGTTGCCATTTGAATCAATTGGATTCCCCTTGGTGTACCTTTGGAACATACTCCCCCAACAGGCAGGAGGCGGGTTGGGCGGGTGGGGTATGGTGAGGGGTGGGGGGTGGGAACACAATCGAAGGGCGCAGGGACCTTGTTTCAGGTCCGTTTGAAAGGTGCCCCTTGATTCCTGGGCCAAACAATTCCATCAAAAAAGGTCAAGGGTATTTTCAGGTATGGGTTTTGAAGGTACGGATTGCTCAGATGCCACCAGTATCAGTAGAAGGATGTATCCCTCACACAGGTGGCATATAGCGGCCATACGCACAAAACCCATATAAACCCACACCTGAGAATGCCTTGAAAGGGAGTGTTTCAATTTTCCAGGATTTGATCTTCCAAGACACACAAAATGGTACTGGTGTTTGGTTTTCCTTTGGCTTTCCTTTAAAAATAGTCTTTGTGCGAATGGCTTCAGAATTCGTTTTGTTTGCTTGCTGTCATTATTTGCCTTGGACTCATGACCCTATTGAGAGGAACAAGTCCTGTCGGGGGAAGAGTAGGACCTTCCCCGCAACATCCTTGAACAAAAACGCCTTTCTCAGCGGACAGGCGGGGGTTGCTTTAGCTGTTGCGCTCTTTGGGTTGCGCTCAGTCTCCAGCTGGTTTCCCTTTGAAGGGCGTGCTCACACGCCAGGTCTCAGCCCGTGCCCGGTCGGATTGCAGGTAATTGCTGTAGAGAGCCCCGGATGTTCTCCTTGACGTTGATGCGACTGTACTTTCTCTCTTTTGATGTGGTGGTTCCTTCTTTTTGAGTTGGTGGCGTTTTCGGGTGGATGGGACACTTTCAGGAAATTTTACCAAGGGCCCAGATCAACGGCAAGCTCAGGCTTTTTGCGGCCGATCCCCACCGTCTCCTGCGAGAACACGCCACCTGACGGCCTGACGGAAGCGACAGGTTCCGCCTTCGCTGCCTACTTGGATGTTCAATCCACATCAGGTGAGCAGGTGATCTTACCATGAAGGCGACTAAGCCCAGTTTCACAAGTTAAAACAAAGTTCTTGCCATTTCCGCTCCCCCAAGTTCACAGGGGCACTTCTCGCTCTCTTGCGCCTAAGTCAAGCCGGGATTTGCTTGGAACATGGGGATGACCACGGGCCGGGGAACCGATCTTTTGTATTGAATTACTGGTGTCAGTCCAACTTTCTGCAACTCACTTCGACTCATTTCCAACTCAATGAAGTCGAGCCCCCAAAAAGCGGCTCGCTTTTTATTGTCCTTTTCCGACATTCGGATTCATGCGCGACCCGACGTGCCTTGAGTCAGACGTACTTCATGTTCCGTTTGTCGTTTCTTCAAAACCACCCCCCTAAAAGCGTGGGTGCACACCCCCGCCAAAAAGAAAAAGAAAGGACAGATACATAAATTAATTAAATAGATAAATAATCAAATAAATAAATAGATAAACATATAAATAAGTAAGTAAGTAAATCAATAAATATATAGATACATAATTAAATACATAGATAAGTACAATAAAATAACATAAATAAATAAATAAATAAATAAATAAATCAATATATTAATAAATAAATAAATAAATAAATAAATAAATAAATAAATAGATAAGTAAAATAAAATAACATAAAACAAAATCAATTCTAAATAAATACAGAAACGAAACACAGAAAAGAGTAGATAACATGAACAATAAAATCAAGAACACCAACAAATAATAGTACCATGACAACCCCCCCCCCCAAAAAAAAAAAAAAAAAAAACAAAAAAAAAGAAAGAAAAGAAAAAAGTCCCGGGGCCAGCCTTCGAGGCTGGACCTTTGCCGCGCCTCCAGCGCCGCCTCCATCGCCACCACGGCGCCCTCGGCCACCGGCAGCTCCTTCGCGCGGCTCAGCTCGCTGCCCCGCGCGGAACTCGGACTTCGGTGCGCGCGTTGGGAATCGTCCGAAGCTTTCAAAGGATTTCGTCAGGGGAAGCTTCCCCAGACATCATGACGTAGGTGACGTAGACCATGACGGCAGGCATCTCCCCCAAACCCATGGAAAAACATGTTTTTTTTGTGGATGGAGACTCAAGGAGCCCCGACATTCCAGCAGTACATTTGTCAGAAGCGCTTTCCGCCGTCTGGCTGTGAACCGGGTCTGTGGGTCGGTGACTCACCTGGCGGTGCCTTTGCATCCTAGCCTGGCGCTTTGGACCACCAGTTGCTTTATTGTGCTGGTCAGTCCGTGGGATGTTTCGCATAAATTTTGCTGGCTGCACGTTGAACGATCAGAATCTCTTGTGGGTATTTTGGGACTTCGGGCATGTCGTGGCAGCCAGGGTTGACTCGTGTCATGATTGGTTTTTCCCTCCAAGGACCAAAAGCAGGATTCCAACTCGACACATTTTTGGAAGCTAAGGGGTGGAGTTTTAAACATCCTTCCATGTGGCAAGGCTGGTGCGAGCTTCCTTCCGTAAGCCCTAGTTGTAGAGAGCAAATAGGAATCCATCCCTCCAAACCAGCAATCCAAACCACCAACTGGAGGGAAGCTGATGGTGTTGATGTTTCCATTGTATGCATTTCCGGCATTCGGTGTCCGCTTGCCTTTTTTCTTCGGCTCACCGGGCTCGGGACAGCCGGCCATAGGCACGTTGAGTTTAACCCGCTAGAGACAGCCAGGCGAAGTACTCCTGGAGTCTTCCTGAACTCTTTAAACTTTTTAAAGAACAACTATGTTTGTGGCCAATCAACCGTTTGATGAGTTTTTGGGATTTGGGCCATTTTAGTGGCGAACCAAAAGTTGGGCGAATCTTTTTTTGGGCCAAGCCACTCGATCGGAGGCGAGGAAGGGATTCTATATCCTCAAAAGGCATCCCTTTTAACCCCCCCCCCCCCGAATGGTACCTTCGAAAGAAGCACAAGCGCCTGAATAATTAGAGCGGGGTTGTGCTTGAAAACCATAAATGAGTCATGATTATGGGAAGCTATTCGTTTTTTGTTTCCTCCAGCCCCCGATGTTTATTAGTTCGGTCCCACAAAGAAAGCATCACGAGGCAGCCGCTCTTCTACTGCGGAGCTGGACCTCGAGGACTCCACCAGGACCGGTAAAAAAGACAAAAGCAAAGCAAAGAAGAGAAACAAAAGCAACAAGCTTGGAAAGCAAAAAAAGCAAAAACAAACACCACGTAAGAGCATTTCAAACATGTTTCTAGAACTTTGTCATTTTGAAAGCGTGGAACCCAAAACTGGGGTCCCCCAAAAGGAATTTTGGAAACACACATGAATGCTCTTGGGGTTTCATGAGAATCTGTGGGAGAGTATCTTCGCTGAAGTCATGATGTTTGGGCAGGGGGTCGACTGGATCCGTGTGGCCAAGGGAAGAGGTTCAGGGGGCTCTTTGGGTTCCCTTGAAACCAATTCCAAAAAGGGTACCCTCAAAAAAGAGAAACCCATATAAGACCATTCGGTTTCGAGGGCATCTCTTTTGGATTCCATGGAAATTGGGGCAGTGGAGTTTCATTACGGACTTCTTGGCAAATGATATTGCCACCTCACACACCGAGGGGTTTGCTACAAC